ATTGGAACCAACCGGAAACTCCACTCTTCCTCGTTCGAAGCGTCAATGATAACTCTCAATGTCCTCCCCCTTATACCTGGAAGACAGGTATCCTCGGCAGTTCACTCATCGGCCTCGGCTGGCTTAGATATTGAGTTGCTGGGGGGGGGGGGGGGAAGCAGTCGGCATATGAAGATTCATTCGCAGGCTCTCGGCATCACTGGGAGTCTCAGCAGATCTAGCAGACTGCAGAATCACGTCCCGTAGTCCCCGGAGCTCTGCTAGATGCCTCTCCTCCCGTTGCTCCTGTGCATGGAGGAACTGATGCATCAGGCTCAGCAATCCCTCATCAGATGTCGAGCCTGTCACATCGGCCTTGACCTGTGGTTTGTGGGACTCAGATGAAGCCTTTGGAAATGCCTCCGCTCCCCCTTCATCCTCCATCGACTCTGCATCCCCATCTGCAACCGCTTTCACGCGAGAGCGTAATCCACCTCGGGGTCTTTTGCCTTTCGGTGCTGTCTTACGGATAGCCATCCCACCGCTGCCACCAAATGTGATACTGCAAGAACCACCAACTTTATCACACTCCTCCTGGATACTGCCATCTGTCTAAACCACGTCTCACTAGCTGAGGCGGTGGCCTAGCAGCTGTAATTAAGAACAACTATAAGACTGACAACATTGATTTTCATGCTGTTGTTAGCTTTGAATATCTGTCATTCAGAATTGCTGGTCCTACACCACTCTTGATACTGCTCATCTACAGACCTCCTAAACACAATGCAAACTTTCTCTCTGATCTCACAGAGTTGCTCACTATTGCCTGTGCTCTATATAGCAATATTATTATGCTTGGTGATTTTAACATTCATGTGGATTCTGATTGTGCTTCTGCTAAGGACTTTATGGCTATATTGGATTACTTTGATTTTTCAGAGCATATTGATTTTCCTAAACACTCTCATTTTCATACCCTTGACCTAATCTGCTCGGTTGGCATTAATAATGTCTGTGTCCAGGGTCTTGAAGCAAGCACTTGAAGCACTCATTGACTTTAGTTTCTGTCTCCCCGTTGCTAAACCTAAAACCAAATCAACAATATCTTACCGAAACCTGAAAAACATAAATGCTGACAATTTCTCTATTGCTATAGCTGCTTCCTATTTGCCTCTCTCTCTGTTCATTTATCCTGTCCTGGTGAGATAGTATCATTATATAATGATGTTACATCTAATGTCTTGGAGGCTTTGGCCCCATTAAAGTCCAGAACTGTCCCCTCAGCTCATTCTTCCCCTCGGTTTACTCCAGCATTCAGACTAATGAAAGCGAAGGGTAGGCGTCTTGAACGGCTCTATAAGAAGACTCGTCTTCTCGTTCATGTGACCCTCCACTCAGAATTCATATCACAGTATAAAAAAAGCACTTAACACCGCACGCTCTAGTTACCTGTCCACTATTATTAACAGAGCAAAGTGCAAGCCCAAGACCCTATTCTCTGAGATCAACAAACTTGTTAAACCACCATCACCAATCTCAATGGTTCTTCTGAACTTTGTGATGATTTTCTGACAGTTTTTACAAACAAAATTGACAATATTTATCAATCCTTTTCTTCTGTTGTTCTTCCAGAAACTGCTACTTCCCAGATACTTTAACCACTCTCAAACTTTTCACTCACTAATACATCTGTGGTTGAGCATCTGATTATGAACTCTAACTCCTCTACCTGTCAGCTAGATCCTATTCCAACACACATACTGAAAAACTTTCTCCCCTCTCTCATTATACCTATCACCCACATGATAAATTATTCCCTATCGACTGGTTATGTACCGCTTGAATTGAAAATAGCTATGATCACCCCTGTACTTAAAAGACCTGGCCTTGACAACACAGTTCAAAGTAATTTCAGACTAATTTCTAACCTTCCTTTTTTATCTAAGGTCCTAGAAAAGGTGGTCACCAAACAATTACAGACTCACTTGGATAAAAATAATCTGTATGAATCATTTCAGTCCGGATTTCGCCCTCTCCATAGTACAGAAACTGCCCTTCTAAGAGTAGTGAACGACCTCCTGCTTGCTTCTGATTCAGGAGCCTTCTGGGGACCTGAGTGCAGCTTTTGATACTGTTTGCCATTCTTTACTGCTATCTCGTTTGTCGGCGATCGGCATTACTGATACTGTCTTACAGTGGCAGGGTTTATATCTCTCAGACAGGCAACAGTTCATTAGCATTGATAAATCCAAATCTCATTCTTTCACTTTTTCTCGTGGAGTGCCTCAAGGATCAGTCCTTGGTCCACTTCTATTCTTAATCTACATGCTTCCTCTGGGTCAGATCATCCGGCGCCATGGTCTAAATTTCCAGTTACGATGATGATACGCAAATCTATTTTACCGTACAGCTCAATTCTGTTTTCCCCCCTACTTCTTTTACATCTTGCTTACATGATCTCAAAGTATGGATGGCCCAAAATTTCTTAAAGTTAAATACTGAAAAAACTGCATTTCTGTTAGTTGGCCCTAAATCCCTTGTCTCCTCCCAGCTTGACTACTCCATTAACATTTACGGAGTTATAGTCCATCCCTCTTCCACTACACACAATCTTGGTATAATGTTTGATTCTAGTCTACGTTTTGAATCCCACATCAATCAACATGTCAAATCCTGTTTTTTCACCTTTGTAATATTGTCCGCCTATGACCATCTTTAAATTTCAAAGATGCTGAAACTGTTGTTCATGCATTTATTACGTTGCATCTGGATTACTGTAACTCCTTGTTTTATGGCCTACCCAACAAAGTCGCTTGCTGCTTATCCAAAATTCAGCTGCTCGTGTTCTTACATTTACCAGAAAATCTGCCCACATCACTCCGGTTTTACAGCAATTACATTGGCTCCCTGTCACCTATCGTATTCAGTTTAAGATTCTTGTTTTAGTTTTCAAGGCCCGTCATGGTTTAGCACCTTCTTACCTTTCTGAATTAATTCTCCCCTATGTCCCTGCCCGTACTTTGAGATCGAGCTCTGAAATTTTGCTTGCAGGAGCCAAATTCCGGCTATCTAGTGTGGGTGGTAGGGCTTTCTGCATTTCTGCTGCCAAGCTCTGGAATAAACTACCACAAGATCTCCGTGTTATCTCTTCACTCCAGACCTTTAAAACTGCTCTCAAAACTCACCTATTTACAATGTTTCTTAATTAATTACTTGCCTTAATTTTCTGTTCTATGCTTTTGTAACTTATCTTGTATATTGCATATTATTTCACCTCTGTCTGCTGTTTGGATATCTATATGTTGTATACTATCTGTTATTTACCTTATGTAAAGTGTCCTTGGGTGTTTGAAAGGCACTATATAAATAAAACGTATTATTATTATTATTATATTATTATCCTTCTGAATATTGAAATCACGGCATTAACATTTTATTTTATTGTATTCAGTTATCATATCAGTGGCGTTATGTTTTCAATTGCGTTATGAAGTTTACTCATTTACTTAATATGAAATAACATTTCGTTCCGTTCTGTGATTTCTGCTGCCAACTCGTTTTGAAGAATACTTAATGTTAAATAAGACTACAGTTTAAAACCTTAAAATTAACAATATTTCTGCAATTGTTTAACCATTACTTATCACATAATATTTACTTTGCAGTTGGACACAAAATGTGTTTTCTCCGACAGGCTGTGACTGACAACAAAACCATAAAATACACTAAAAAACGCAACATAATTTCAAAAAGAAACTATTTTATTTGTGTACTGTAATCCAAATTTTCAGAATTCATACAACTGTGAGGAACAGTGCCAAACTCAAGCCTCTATTCAGTGATCTTCATTTCCATTCTGAGCAGTAACTGTAAGCAATAATACCCGTGCTGACACGCTCGTTACAAATTCAAAAGTTGCCGCTTCAATAAACTTTACGACAGGTTTTACAGTAGGTAAATCGAATGCTCATTGGCGCTCACCTGCTTCGTCACAGATTGCAACATGTCGTGTTTCTAGTGAGGTGTGTTTGAATGAGAAATGTGTGCCTTCATGGAGTGGAGACTGCGGCTGCAATGCATCGTCATTTGAATTACTTGTGGTACTGCTTGATGATGTGGCTCCACTTCGCTCGCTGCCTTTGTATGCAGTAGGCAACAAGCTTAGTTTTGGAACTGAGCACAATAGATAAAGTTCAGTGTGTAATGTGCCCAACAATTCCCAGGATGTGTGGATAGAAGCTTTGTTTCTCATTGCTGCAAGCATGCTGTACTACAGTGCAAGTGCAGTAGACCTGCTTTCCCGCCCACTCTACCTCCTCATTCTGTCTCTCTTTGTTTGTCTGTGTCTTTCTCTTCCCCTCTTACTCTCTGCCCTTCTCAGGGGCAGATTGGAGTGGATGTAGGAGGAGGGTCATATGCACTTCCTGGTTTTGGCTCACCGCCTGGTCTATTTTAAGTTCAGAGTCCTGAGATTTTTCTTTGCTGAACCCATACAGTACAAATCAAGGATGTCACAGAGAAACAGCCCAAAGCAAAGGCCATGATGTTCACATAGCGCTGCATTGACGTAGAAAATCACAAACCAATCAAGTGGCTTGACTTGCAGCATTAGAATAATAATTCTTGCAGTCTTCTGTGAATGCAGATACAGTGTTTCCGCTCCTCCTGAAGATAGATGTGACATCTATATTGATTGAATTTAGGAATGCATACATGGATATTACTGCCCAAAACCCTCAATTGACTTTTTTTCTTGACTTCATTGATCACTGCGGGAAAATGGACGAAATGTGGCTTATGTAATTGAACTTTATAGATCTGAAAAATCAGCACGGTGCTCAGGGTCAATAAATCAAATATGCTCAACTTCTCACATTCAGATGATCAATGTCCTGCTGCTTTTGTGACAATGTTGAGTGTTTGCCCAAGACTTATGAGGTAACTCACAGTGTACTAAAATGAAAGCAAAACTGGTTGTCTCAAAATTCCTAAAGGTTTGTTTTTCTTGTTTCTTCTTATAGATGACAGATCGTCAACCACCCACATTTCCCGATCCTTGGCTAATGATCTGGGTGGCTCTCTGGCCCCACTGATTGGTGAACGTAAAACGTCTGTTCCTGCCCACTCCAGCCAGCCAATGCTGTTCACATTCGACATACCTGTACGCCACTCCCATAGTTCTCTGTCTAATAGTGCTCCTCAGGACTACCTCTTCCTCCATCAGTGCATGAGCCGCAAGAGTGAAAGTGCACGGTAAGAGCCATGATCTCTGGGGATGTGCTCATATTACACCCCTTATAGCTTAGACTGAAAAAACTAACAAGATATTGTCTTCAGTACTGGAAGCTTCAGTACTTTATTTCAAGTGGTGCAACATGTAGACAAAAAGCAGAATTCATATCAAGGTCAATAAGTCTCTTAAAATATCAGATCATTTCACCTTTTTAGTGTAGGCAAGGGTAATTCAGGTTGTAAAATGTCATGTGGTGCGATTCCCCAAAGGACAACTGAATATACTTAAATGTCGTGTAAATATATAATGATATTTGTTAAAAATACTCAACATTCAGAGATGCTCCTGTCAAGCTCACTCAACCATCTCAGCAGATGAATCTGACTCTTCCACTCACACACATATTCATCCAGGGGCGTAGCCATCATTTCAGAAGTGAGGGGGACAGAAATGTCAAATGTAATACCTTTTTTTTTTATTGACAAGTTTTCTTTTTCTCATATATCTTACTTTTAATAGGCGAAGAAAAACCAATATACTACAAACACTTTGTTTTCCATTTTTATCACAGAATAAGGCAGAATAGTTGCTATACTGTAATAAATGCTATTTCAAATATAGCTGCAAGCAGCAATTACGGGGCCAAGCACTCCAAAGGCAAAATGAGGAGCTAAGCATGGCATGGAGCATCAGTCCAAATGCAACAGAGTAATAAAAGCAATTTTAGGACGATTGTAATTGAAATGGCTGTAAAATCATAAAAACAACCTCCTGTAATATGATTAAATGGCTTATCACTTTTGACCAACAAGTGGCACTGTAATCAAATCATTTTGGTGTGTTCTGTGTGAGGTGACAATGGCAATTAGCACTGCATTATTCATATATGTTATTTATTGCCTGGAGATGACTTACAAAACATACATAAACCATATATAGTGTCGCAATCTTGTGTTTATTGTCTTCACGTTTCATCAGTCAAAATGTTTGCTTTTTATTCAGCTTATGCAGTGATAGCTGGATGCCTTTGTCCATATTAGGGATTTCCTGGCACGTCATTAGTTATTACTTCTATAGCCCCTTTCACACATATAGTCTTTATTGGTAAATTAGTGGTAATTGACCATTAAAAGATCATGTTTGAACAGGACCTTTTCAAAAATACTGGTAAATTCATTCTAGCAATTTACCGGTTTGAGAAGTTGTAAAATTACCAGTAAATTACTGGTAATGTGCTCTGTGTGAACGCAGCACAAGATTACCGGTATGAGCACATACGAGTTCAAAATACTGATGTCTACTCTAGGCCAATCATAACATTCTGACGCAGATGACACATTTACTCCATGCTGTTTACAGAAGTAAAAGAAATGTCTAAAGTCCTCTAATACGATGTTTCTGGGCCAAAAGCAGCTGCATGAATGTGAACATTTGACACAAAAATTAAAACAACAACAATAACACTAACCGCATATCACCATCCATGTTTACAAACACAACACCGGGAGGCACAGCCGTTTAGAGGTCATTTCCAGTTAATGATGTCACAGAATTTACCGGTATTTTGAAATTGATGTGTGAATGGTGCTTTACCGGTAAAAAGACGTAATGTCGTTGACTCGTTTGCCTGTGTGAACAGTGCATTTTTGAATTTACCAGCAAAGTCGTTCTGGTAATTTTACGGCAATTTACATATATTACTGTGTGAAAGGGGCTAATGAGTCCATCTTAGACTTTCTGCACGAGAACGCACTCCAGCTTCGAGTATGAATGAAACATACACTGCATGAGAATGTTAAGCGCTCCATGACGTTCACATTGCCTCATTCTGGATACAAATAAAATATGCACAAACTATCCTGTCTCTTTGAATTTAAATCTAGATTTATTCACACCGGCCCTTGAAAACCTTTATGTGAACTTACTTGCCTGAATGTGCGGGGATCCATACAGAGTGCCTTCTTTATTCAAGATACCAGCATCCAGAGACGAATCATCCTTCATCTAAAGAGCTGTCATGTATTTATGTATGATCTGTAGAGAACCACGCATAGATCAAAAATCATGTCATGAAAATTATGCTGGATATTGATAAACCATTACGACAGAAAATAGTTGCTGATGGAAGCTGATCGGAAGCTGATGCTTTGGTGGTGTTCGTATAAAAGACAGAATACAGTGTGTATTAAATGCACAAAAATTTGTCAATAAATAATAAATAAATAAATAATAAATAAATAAATGACTGATCCTAAATTATTTTTTACACTGCAGCATTATTTTATGACAACTAAACACCCCTCTGTATTCCTCAACTCTCAGTAGTCTGCTATATGTTTATTATTAATATTATGTTTATTTAAATAAATAATTATATATTTCAATAAATTATGAATATTTTTATATTATTTAAATTGTAAAGTATACATTGTTGTATTGCCTTTCATAGCAAAATCGTTTTTAAGACAGGATTGTTTTCATTACAGTACTGGGAATGTTTTTTTTTTTCAGAATTGTGGTAATTTCCCACATTTCAGTAAGGGAATTATATATAATGTTTAATTGTTAAAAAAAATGTCTCAAAGCAAAGCCCTCGATATAGATATATATTGGTTTTAATTCTTGTCATCTGTCACTGGGATATGAGATCATCTTTGCAGGGATATTAATGTTATTAGGTCATAAGCGAAAGTGTTTTCAACTTTAAACAAACACCTATGAGACCTTCCTACAAATTCAGGAGCAGGCGGTGACGTATTGTAGTGTTTGCAGAAGGATTCACTTACAGGATGTGCTCATCAGTCATTTCACCCTGATTCACTTCCTTTGATTATAATCCTACTGAAATAATGCCAAATGAAACAGAATTGTGTTATAATGCCTCTGGCTAATAAACCCATCAAAGGTTTACTATGCCTACTATTTATTTCATCCCCCAAACTAAGTCTTTTCACACAGTCATTTGACTCAAAACCTGCAGAATGTAAACAAACTATGTTTTATCCAATGTGTACCAGCCTTGCCAGTTTTACTGGGGTAATGACCATGATATTCATCATCACTACCCAGAGTGTCATAAACACTCTCCATCATACACCATCATGCACTAAGTCAATACATTCATACAGCAGACAAAAAAAACTGTCTCTCTGTAAGCCAGACACAGTGCGTCTGTTATATGAGATACAGAGAAACACTGCCTTCAGTGGTGCTGCATTGACGTAGAAAATCACAAACCAATCAAGTGGCTTGACTTGCAGCATTAGAATAATAATTCTTGCAGTCTTCTGTGAATGCAGATACAGTGTTTCCGCTCCTCCTGAAGATAGATGTGACATCTATATTGATTGAATTTAGGAATGCATACATGGATATTACTGCCCAAAACCCTCAATTGACTTTTTTTCTTGACTTCATTGATCACTGCGGGAAAATGGACGAAATGTGGCTTATGTAATTGAACTTTATAGATCTGAAAAATCAGCACGGTGCTCAGGGTCAATAAATCAAATATGCTCAACTTCTCACATTCAGATGATCAATGTCCTGCTGCTTTTGTGACAATGTTGAGTGTTTGCCCAAGACTTATGAGGTAACTCACAGTGTACTAAAATGAAAGCAAAACTGGTTGTCTCAAAATTCCTAAAGGTTTGTTTTTCTTGTTTCTTCTTATAGATGACAGATCGTCAACCACCCACATTTCCCGATCCTTGGCTAATGATCTGGGTGGCTCTCTGGCCCCACTGATTGGTGAACGTAAAACGTCTGTTCCTGCCCACTCCAGCCAGCCAATGCTGTTCACATTCGACATACCTGTACGCCACTCCCATAGTTCTCTGTCTAATAGTGCTCCTCAGGACTACCTCTTCCTCCATCAGTGCATGAGCCGCAAGAGTGAAAGTGCACGGTAAGAGCCATGATCTCTGGGGATGTGCTCATATTACACCCCTTATAGCTTAGACTGAAAAAACTAACAAGATATTGTCTTCAGTACTGGAAGCTTCAGTACTTTATTTCAAGTGGTGCAACATGTAGACAAAAAGCAGAATTCATATCAAGGTCAATAAGTCTCTTAAAATATCAGATCATTTCACCTTTTTAGTGTAGGCAAGGGTAATTCAGGTTGTAAAATGTCATGTGGTGCGATTCCCCAAAGGACAACTGAATATACTTAAATGTCGTGTAAATATATAATGATATTTGTTAAAAATACTCAACATTCAGAGATGCTCCTGTCAAGCTCACTCAACCATCTCAGCAGATGAATCTGACTCTTCCACTCACACACATATTCATCCAGGGGCGTAGCCATCATTTCAGAAGTGAGGGGGACAGAAATGTCAAATGTAATACCTTTTTTTTTTATTGACAAGTTTTCTTTTTCTCATATATCTTACTTTTAATAGGCGAAGAAAAACCAATATACTACAAACACTTTGTTTTCCATTTTTATCACAGAATAAGGCAGAATAGTTGCTATACTGTAATAAATGCTATTTCAAATATAGCTGCAAGCAGCAATTACGGGGCCAAGCACTCCAAAGGCAAAATGAGGAGCTAAGCATGACATGGAGCATCAGACCAAATGCAACGAGTAATAAAAGCAATTTTAGGATGATTGTAATTGAAATGGTTGAAAAATCATAAATACAACCTCTAGTAATATGATTAAATGGCTTATCACTTTTGACCAACAAGTGGCACTGTAATCAAATCATTTTGGTGTGTTCTGTGTGAGGTGACAATGGCAATTAGCACTGCATTATTCATATATGTTATTTATTGCCTGGAGATGACTTACAAAACATACATAAACCATATATAGTGTCGCAATCTTGTGTTTATTGTCTTCACGTTTCATCAGTCAAAATGTTTGCTTTTTATTCAGCTTATGCAGTGATAGCTGGATGCCTTTGTCCATATTAGGGATTTCCTGGCACGTCATTAGTTATTACTTCTATAGCCCCTTTCACACATATAGTCTTTATTGGTAAATTAGTGGTAATTGACCATTAAAAGATCATGTTTGAACAGGACCTTTTCAAAAATACTGGTAAATTCATTCTAGCAATTTACCGGTTTGAGAAGTTGTAAAATTACCAGTAAATTACTGGTAATGTGCTCTGTGTGAACGCAGCACAAGATTACCGGTATGAGCACATACGAGTTCAAAATACTGATGTCTACTCTAGGCCAATCATAACATTCTGACGCAGATGACACATTTACTCCATGCTGTTTACAGAAGTAAAAGAAATGTCTAAAGTCCTCTAATACGATGTTTCTGGGCCAAAAGCAGCTGCATGAATGTGAACATTTGACACAAAAATTAAAACAACAACAATAACACTAACCGCATATCACCATCCATGTTTACAAACACAACACCGGGAGGCACAGCCGTTTAGAGGTCATTTCCAGTTAATGATGTCACAGAATTTACCGGTATTTTGAAATTGATGTGTGAATGGTGCTTTACCGGTAAAAAGACGTAATGTCGTTGACTCGTTTGCCTGTGTGAACAGTGCATTTTTGAATTTACCAGCAAAGTCGTTCTGGTAATTTTACGGCAATTTACATATATTACTGTGTGAAAGGGGCTAATGAGTCCATCTTAGACTTTCTGCACGAGAACGCACTCCAGCTTCGAGTATGAATGAAACATACACTGCATGAGAATGTTAAGCGCTCCATGACGTTCACATTGCCTCATTCTGGATACAAATAAAATATGCACAAACTATCCTGTCTCTTTGAATTTAAATCTAGATTTATTCACACCGGCCCTTGAAAACCTTTATGTGAACTTACTTGCCTGAATGTGCGGGGATCCATACAGAGTGCCTTCTTTATTCAAGATACCAGCATCCAGAGACGAATCATCCTTCATCTAAAGAGCTGTCATGTATTTATGTATGATCTGTAGAGAACCACGCATAGATCAAAAATCATGTCATGAAAATTATGCTGGATATTGATAAACCATTACGACAGAAAATAGTTGCTGATGGAAGCTGATCGGAAGCTGATGCTTTGGTGGTGTTCGTATAAAAGACAGAATACAGTGTGTATTAAATGCACAAAAATTTGTCAATAAATAATAAATAAATAAATAATAAATAAATAAATGACTGATCCTAAATTATTTTTTACACTGCAGCATTATTTTATGACAACTAAACACCCCTCTGTATTCCTCAACTCTCAGTAGTCTGCTATATGTTTATTATTAATATTATGTTTATTTAAATAAATAATTATATATTTCAATAAATTATGAATATTTTTATATTATTTAAATTGTAAAGTATACATTGTTGTATTGCCTTTCATAGCAAAATCGTTTTTAAGACAGGATTGTTTTCATTACAGTACTGGGAATGTTTTTTTTTTTCAGAATTGTGGTAATTTCCCACATTTCAGTAAGGGAATTATATATAATGTTTAATTGTTAAAAAAAATGTCTCAAAGCAAAGCCCTCGATATAGATATATATTGGTTTTAATTCTTGTCATCTGTCACTGGGATATGAGATCATCTTTGCAGGGATATTAATGTTATTAGGTCATAAGCGAAAGTGTTTTCAACTTTAAACAAACACCTATGAGACCTTCCTACAAATTCAGGAGCAGGCGGTGACGTATTGTAGTGTTTGCAGAAGGATTCACTTACAGGATGTGCTCATCAGTCATTTCACCCTGATTCACTTCCTTTGATTATAATCCTACTGAAATAATGCCAAATGAAACAGAATTGTGTTATAATGCCTCTGGCTAATAAACCCATCAAAGGTTTACTATGCCTACTATTTATTTCATCCCCCAAACTAAGTCTTTTCACACAGTCATTTGACTCAAAACCTGCAGAATGTAAACAAACTATGTTTTATCCAATGTGTACCAGCCTTGCCAGTTTTACTGGGGTAATGACCATGATATTCATCATCACTACCCAGAGTGTCATAAACACTCTCCATCATACACCATCATGCACTAAGTCAATACATTCATACAGCAGACAAAAAAAACTGTCTCTCTGTAAGCCAGACACAGTGCGTCTGTTATATGAGATACAGAGAAACACTGCCTTCAGTGGTTGAATCTTAACATTACACAAATACTGTTTTTTTTTTTGTGTGTACTTACATCCAGTGTTGTCATTGTTAACTAAAACTATAAAAAGACACTAACTGAAATAAAATACAAATATTGAATGAAAACCTAAAAAAATGTATGCAAAACAGAAAATAGAAATAAAAGCTACTTCAAAATATTAATAAATATTAAATTCGTGGAAGTCGTGGCCTAATGGTTAGAGAGTCGGACTCGTAACCCAAAGGTTGCGAGTTCGAGTCTCCGGTCCGGCAGGAATTGTAGGTGGGGGGAGTGAATGTACAGCGCTCTCTTCCACCTTCAATACCACGACTGAGGTGCCCTTGAGCAAGGCACCGAACCCCCAACTGCTCCCCGGGCGCCGCAGCATAAATGGCTGCCCACTGCTCCGGGTGTGTGTTCACGGTGTGTGTGTGTTCACTGCTGTGTGTGTGCACTTAGGATGGGTTAAATGCAGAGCACTAATTCCTAGTATGGGTAACCACACTTGGCCACGTCACGTCACTAAATATCATAATAATATATAAATTATACGAAAATAACACTGTTTACCTTTTTAAAGACCCCCTTGGCTAGCATACTAGAATAATATAGAGCATGAATACTGTGCACAGTATGCAAATGTGCTGCATTGGATTTGCCAAAATACTGTATGCACTATACAGAGCACATTGCATGCAATACTGTATCCCACAATGTGATGCATTTGACTTCACCTTCCATTTCTAGTGTGATTAATGAGTTGTAAGTAAATTTAAAACAATACCCCCCAAGATGATAACTGAATGCCACACATAAACATAATAAGGTCATGTGACCTCAAATACATTCTTTTATTAGATTCAGTTTTTAATTTATGAGATTTTGACACAGATACTATATTGTTCTTAATATTAAAAGATTTGACCTGTGGTCAGTTCAGTGTTATAAGTATAGTTTGCTGTGTCAATATTTGAATGACATTAGTATTATTTATAGCAAAGGCTAATAATAGTTTGGCTATTGTAGATTAGATTGTTTAATGGCTCTGTGAGAAAATATGTGATCATAAACGAATGTTTGACTGAATAAATATGTCCATCATAAATAATTAACCAATGTCATTTTGGTCCCAAAGGAGTGCCAGTTTCTCGCAGGCCTCGCGCAGCAGTCTTCTGGTGGGCAGTGACTCGGCGGTTCAGAGACTCACTCATGGTTTCTCTCACTGTCTGAACGGCATGGGCGCCCAGCTTCACGGTTTCTACAGCCTTCCCAAACCCAGCAAGCATCAGCAGCCCCCTTTGCGGACTGACTCGCGTGACGCTTGCTATGTTCTGCCCAGGGGTTACAGCTCAGAAGGGGCGTCAGAGCTTGAATCAGATGATGTCTACACCTTTAAAACCCCCAATAACACTCTAGCAGCCCCCCAAACCAATGAGCAGCGGGCCCTCGATAACTATGATTTACCCAGCATTCCTGGCTCCGTCTACCAGATCCCCCGCACGTTTGATAAGAACCACAATGCCCTGATGCCATCCAGTGCCGACTCCACAAATGCGCCTCCTCCCAGACCTCCCAAACCCAGCCAGGGCTCAGAGACACAGTGGGGCAGCCCGCTGTCCGTGGGGGCTCAAAATGGAGAGGTCGCCACAGTGTCCGTCATCCCCAGGAGGAACACACTGCCGGCGGTGGAGAACATCAAGCTTCACAGAGGTAATACTCTCATCAGTTTTATTAAATCTGTTTATTTTAAAGTCTCATTTTCTCTCATCTCTCCTTTCCTCGTTTTGTCTAGTATCTTTTCTCATTTTGTCTTTCTTTTCTCCTCTGGTCTCTCCTCTCATTTTGTCTCTTTATTTTATTCTTGTCTCTTACTGTATCTTATTCTTGTCTTGTCTTATTTTGTCTCATCTCATCTCTCCTTTTTTGTCTCCTCTCTTCTCATTTTGTATTTTCTCCTCTTGTCCTTTCCTGTTGTCTTGTCTGTTTTCACCTTGTCTCCACTTGTCTCATTCTCATCTTGTCTCAATTTGTCTCTGCGTCTCTAATGTTCTTCTTTCGTCTCATCTCTTCTCATCTTGTCTTTTCACCCCGTTCCTCTCGCTTCGTCTCTCCTCTCATTTGGTCTATTTTAATCTCATCTCTTCTTGTCTCATTCTCTTTAGTCTCTTCTCTTCTTTTTTTCCGTCCTGTCTCGTTTTGTCTTTTCTCCTCTCTTCTTTCCTCATTTCATCTAGTATCTCCTCTCATTTTGTTTGTTTATTTTAGTCTTGTATCTTCTTGTTTGTTCTCATCTTTTTTTTCTTTTCATCTTTTAACATATTGTCTTCTCTTGTCTTATGTGTTTTCTCCTGTGGGCTCTCCTCTCATTTCGTCTCACCTGTCTTCTCATTTTTGTCTTTTTGTTTAATTCTAAACTTGTCTCATTGTCTCCTCTCATCTCTCCTTTTCTCAACTTCTTTCCTCTCATCTCTCCTTTCCTCGTTTTGTCTAGTATCTTTTCTCATTTTGTCTGTTTCTTTTCTCCTCTGGTCTCTCCTCTCATTTTGTCTCTTTATTTTAATCTTGTCTCTTACTGTATCTCATTCTTGTCTTGTCTTTTGTCTCATCTCATCTCCCCTTTTTTGTCTCATCTCTTCTCATTTTGTATTTTCTCCTCTTGTCCTTTCCTGTTGTTTTGTCTTTTCTTTCCTCCCGTCTTGTCTGTTTTCACCTTGTCTCCACTTGTCTCATTCTCATCTTGTCTCAATTTGTCTCAGCGTCTCTAATGTTCTTCTTTCGTCTCATCTCTTCTCATCTTGTCTTTTCACCCCGTTCCTCTCGCTTCGTCTCTCCTCTCATTTGGTCTATTTTAATCTCATCTCTTCTTGTCTCATTCTCTTTAGTCTCTTCTCTTCTTTTTTTCCGTCCTGTCTCGTTTTGTCTTTTCTCCTCTCTTCTTTCCTCATTTCATCTAGTATCTCCTCTCATTTTGTTTGTTTATTTTAGTCTTGTATCTTCTTGTTTGTTCTCATCTTTTTTTTCTTTTCATCTTTTAACATATTGTCTTCTCTTGTCTTATAGAGTCACAAACTGACAATAACAAGTCTATTCAAACTACACAAGAACAAATGGTGTGTGTCACAGTGGTTTCCACCACTGATCTGGAAACTGTGTAAGCTGTATTGTTCTTCTTTCTTTTACAGAGAACTAAAGCCCCATTGACCCGCTCCGATAGTGCCGGCTCTGAGGATAACTACGTACCCATGAATCCCGGCTCGTCCTCCTCCCCTCTCAGTGCCGCCCTGGCTGACAGTCCTAAAAATAATTATATTCCCATGAGCCCAGGTCCTCACCATTTTGATTTCCCAGGATTTTCAGCGACGTTGCCGGCCAGGAAGGGCAGTACAGCATCACTATGTCTCCGACCCGGCCGACTCAGTGACGTCACACCACCACCGATTAACCGCAACCTTAAACCCAACCGGACAGGCTCTCATCTCTCCTTTTCTCAACTTCTTTCCTCTCATCTATCCTTTTCCTCTCATTTCGTCTTGTCTCTCCTCTCATCACGTCTCTCATTTTGTTTTCTCTTATCGCCACTTTTTCATCTCATAATGAGATGATACATTAAAACAGACAAAATGAGAATGAGACAAGAAAAAACAAGATGAGAAGAGACTTTTGTCTCTCCTTTTCTTTCTCTTTGCTCTACTAATTTTGCCTGTTTATTTTAAAGTCTCATCTTCGCTCATCTTGTTTTGCCTCTCTACTTGATTTATCTCTCCTCTTCTCATCTGGTCTCTTTTCTCATCTTTCCTCTTCTCCAGTGTTCCTTAAGCTTAATGAACTCATTACATAAAGGCTGTAAATCAGTGTTATTACCAAATGATTTACCCCTCTATGCTTATCAGGTGGCCAATTTAAGCTTTCAGCTCAATTAATATTGTTTTTTTTTACTTCTCCACTCTCTTTTTCGTTCTGTTTCTTTTCTGAATGTGTACATCTGATATGAAACCAAGAGGCAATCAGGTCAAGGTTTACTCTGCTCTGCTAGGAAGCTAATGAAATTCAAGCCATGCAGGCAGCCCCAGAATGGCTTGTTCCGGCCTGATAAGCAGTGAAAAAAAACCAGCAGGCACAATTCAGTGATTTCCTAGTGGTTTGCGCTCAGCAAGTCCAGACTAGTTTGTCTGCAGGAACAGGAAGTGACCTTTTGACCATCTTCACCTGATTCCCACACCTGTGCTCGGTAGCCATGTTTCCAGAGAGGTAAACTGGGAGGCAATGTGGAATGTGAAGAAAATGGCCACATAAGTAATGCCTTCGTATGAAAGTGTAATAGAATTTATGTAGGAATAAAAGCTGGATCACTTACAAATCCGGTCTGATTTGTACAGAATGAACAGCTCATGTGTCTTGTGACTTTTCCTTTGATTGTGACCCAGGCTTAAGGTAAACATTTTCTCTGAACTCCTTGCTTGGTGAACTTGTTTTTACATGGCTACCATCCTGTGTTTTAGGATCCTCTTTTGAGACCAACAGTCACCAAAGGCCAGTCTATTTCAACAATTCTGGTCAGTCAGTGGAGTCTGTAAATGATGGCTTCAGCTCATACCTGGTAAAGCAGCTTCTATTACATATCTACACCTAAGGGTCATTCACAAGAAAATGGTACCATTTATTTGCCTTATTGAAAAGATTACTGCTGAACTTTTAAGACATCATATTTTTCCATATCAATCTGAAAGTACCAGGGCCATAAGCACCATAGACCCTTTGGGGGAACTATATTACATCTGAAATGTTTTGGGGGAGACTGTTACAGGGTTGAAGGGCACTGCAAAAATATCTAATAATGTACAATATATCAGTGCAACGCACCATATTATTTACAATCAGTGCCAACTAGTAAATTTAAATACAATTTTAATATATATATTTTGTATTGAAATAATTTCTGTGTAACCATTACTCTAATTGCAATGACTTACAAATTATATATATATATATATATACCTGGCTGACAGTCCTAAAAATAATTATATTCCCATGAGCCCAGGTCCTCACCATTTTGATTTCCCAGGATTTTCAGCAACGTTGCCAGCCAGGAAGGGCAGTACAGCATCACTATGTCTCCGGCCCGGCCGACTCAGTGACGTCACACCACCACCGATCAACCGCAACCTTAAACCCAACCGGACGTGTGAGTGGCACTAACACAACTTCTCAATCTTCTGTCTTTATTGAAAATATTGAAAATATGAACATTCAATAAAGATTAGAAGAACAGATTGATTAATTATACAAATTTCTTCTGCACAATTTATTTACACAAGATGATTGTTTGTCTTGGTTTGCAGCAAAACCAACACCTCTTGACTTAAGGAACAATGGCATCATTGATGAACTTCCCTTCAAGAGCCCCATCACCATGTCTTGGATCAGACCAACGTGAGTGGGTCTCCCAATTTAGAACAAAATTTTGCAGTGCTATTATTCACAATTACAGTAATAAAGTAAAACTACAGGTGATTTTACTCAAACTTGCTGACAAATTATAAATTCAATCATTAGTAATATGATTGAATAGTTTACCAATTTTGACCAATAGGAGGCGCTGTTACCAAATTCATGTGGTGTGGCCAGTGTGAGGTGATCATAGCATACATAAAGTTTTGTGTCAGTATGTCAAAGCTTTGCAGAGATACAGCCTCAGATGCAGTTTGGCATCATTCCATCAAATTTGTTGATGTGGTAAATGAAAACCGTTTCCTCTATCAACACAAAATTCATAACTTTTTGCCTGCATGGTCTGAAGATGATCTGAGTCGAATTTGATGAAAATTGGACAAACAATCTAGGAGGAGTTTGAAAAAGTATGTTTTCATAGAAAATCAAAATAACAGATGGGAAGTTCAGCTGATTATGGCATAACTGGTATTGATGTTCTCGGCATGACTCAAGGAATCTAGCAAAACCAGTCACATGACAATAGGCAAAACTAATCAAAAGCTATTAGCATTTTTTGACATTTTATTATAATTTTTGACCACAAGGTGGTGCTGCCCCGAAACTTTTTGAGTACCTTCAGGGTATTCAAAGAGGCCAACATGGGAAAATTATCTAAAGAGATAAGTCTTGTGATTTTTGTCCAAACCGTTCAGAAGTTACAAGCTAAAAATCTGTCAAAAATACCCATTTTTTCATTTGTCCTGATCACTAGGTGACGATGTGCCGAAACTGTGCAGGTACACCCAGGTCATGGTTATTGTAACACACACCAAGTTTGGTTTGAATACGCTAAAGTGTTGTGGAGATATAGCCTCACACCCATTTTTGGTGTGCTTTTCATCAAATTCGTTATTCTTGAACAGTTTGACTAAGCAACTTGAATTCTGTAACTTTTTGTCAGTATGGTCTGAAGATGATCTGAGCCAATTTTGGTTAAAATCAGACAAACCATCAAGAACAAGTTCTAAAAAATAGGTTTTATGATTAATTCAAAATTGCGAAAAATCTTGACCTGTAGAATTTTGAATTTTGGTATGCATTCGACTCGGCATGAGCCAAGGAATCAGAGGAAAAAATAATTTTGTGTCTAAACTTTATGGTTCAAAAGGTATTAGCATGAACATGGGTGTGAATTTGAGCTCTTGGTGGCGCTAGAGGGTTTGAGTTAGAGACTCCAAACTTGCTATGGATAATGTTGAGACTGTTCTCTATCTGTGTGCCAAATTTCATAACTTTCCTGCAAATGGTTCTATGGGCATCTATAGGCTTTCAAAGAGGAAGAAGAAGAAAAAGAAGAAGAAATCTAACAGATACAATAGGTGCCTATGCACCTTCAGTGCTTGGCCCTAATTATTAAAAACATTATGGTGTTAACATTTTATTTTGATCAGTTATATAGTAGTCTTGCACAGCCATACCTTTGCCTGATGACATAAGGTCTGGGTTCTATAGTCAAGAACCGCCCACTTAGACAGGGACAGACTCTCTGACTGACATGTAAAGCAACCAATCTAAGTTCGTTTTTTTCAACGTCATGTTTAGGAACAAGTAAATGTCGCTACAATAACAAAATGACATAATGCAATGTCATTCCATCAAGACTGGTATAAAGTTAAAGCAAATAGTGCCACAACAGTCTGCATGAAAACAGAATTTTCTCAGAATTTTAATCTATCTAAAATTAATAAGAAAATCTTTAAAGAATAATGATTTCAATGGCGTATACTAGGGCTGCACGATTCGGGGAAAAAATGTAATTTCAATTTTTCTGGTTAAAATTGCGATTTGCGATTTAAACTAGATTTTTAAAACAAATTAACAATATAATAATTAGATCAAAATTAAGATAATAATACTAATTTTATTTTACAGCAAACTATTGTTTTACATAAAACTGCAGGGTTACTTGTTAACATACAGGGCTATAACTGTACATCATATGATACTGTTATGATCAAAATCTTTTGAATTTCTTAATTTTTATCAGGAGGTATGTAAAATCAAAAATGGAGTCCATGTCTTTAATATGAAATATGAGCCTTTATACATACACTGTGGGGAAAGAAAAAAGAAAAAAAAAAACTCCTGTACACTTCTATAGACTGAAGAAAAACATGAATTATCATATGTTTACATCAAATTTATTTAGAGAGAAGTATAATTTTTCCTATTTATGGCCCAGATAGGACTGAGTGTGCATTACTGAGTGCTAAACTCATAAAACTCATGTAATGTTTGTTTCATTCATACTGGACGCCAGAGGGCGCTAAATAAGTCTGCTGCAATGTCAGTGCCATTACTGTCAGGTAAAGTACAGTACATGCAGGTACTTCCACTCTTATGTTTAACTAAGTGCCTCAAACAAAACTATTGTTTCTAACCCTTCTCTTTCACAAACCTTTTGAAATCCAGATTTACATGCTCACGTGAAGCGCTCAGTGTCAGTCTTTGTGAACATGGCTTTTTTGCCCGGTAGACTGTTAAAGGGATAGTTCACCCAAAAATGAAAGTTCTGTCATTAATTACTCACCCTCCTGTCGTTCCAGACCCGTAAGACCTTCGTTCATCTTCGGAACACAAATTAAGATATTTTTGATGAAATGTGAGAGCTCTCAGACCCTGCATAGACAGCAACGCAACTGTAATGTTCCCAAGTCCAGAAACATAGTAAGGACATCGTTAAAACAGTCCATGTGACATCAGTGGCTCAACTTCAGTTTTGCGAAGCTACGAGAATACTTTTTCAGCGCAAAGATAACAAAAATAAAAATTGATTTAACAATTATTCTCCCCCGAGTTACGTCTTCCCCTATTTCAGAGAGTATCACAATGCATACGCACGCTTTCCCCTAAGCATAAACAACGCTGATTATGCAGATTACGTTCATGCGCGCGCTTTCTCCTCCGAACGTAAACAACGCTGATTACGTCGATTACGCTCTTGGGTACTCTCCAAAATGGCGGAAGACGTAACTCGGGGGAGAAGAATTGTTAAATGAGTTGTTATTTTTGTGCTCAAAAAGTATTCTCGTAGCTTCGCAAAACTGAAGTTGAGCCACTGATGTCACATGGACTGTTTTATCGATGTCCTTACTACGTTTCTGGACCTGGGAACATTTCAGTTGCATTGCTGTCTATGCAGGGTCTGAGAGCTCTCACATTTCATCAAAATATCTTAATCTGTGTTCCGAAGATGAACGAAGGTCTTAAGGGTTTGGAACAAAAATGAGGGTGAGTAATTAATGACAGAATTTTCATTTTGGGGTGAACTAACCCTTTAAAGACCACCACAAACGGCTCCCGGAAAACCAGTAGAAGTCAGCCAACTGGATTTAGACTTCTGACTTTGCGATGTTTAGCAAACGGTCCATGGTCGTGATGTCTTGGCTGAGACTAGTTATATAGTAACCGCCGCAGTAAATGTTAAGTGATTTTTTTTTTTTTTTACTTTCTTTACAGGCCTGTGAACTCCATCTCGTCGCAGCCCTGTCGGCCCATTTCAACCCAGAGCATCACCAGCACTGATTCTGCAGACAGTGAGGAGAATTATGTGGCAATGGTGAGGGCAATAAGTCGAGTTTCAGAATGTGATGAAAAGGCTTGAATGTGCTTTGGGAATAGCACCCCAACCTTGTAGTTAGTTACCAAGTTCCTCAACAACAGACTACCTTTGAATACATATAACATTCTTTGAGATTTTTTTTAATTTTTTTTCAGTCAGCTATTTCTAAAAAAAAAAACATGTTTATATTTGTGCAGCAAAACCCAGTGTCTACCTCCCCGGCGATGAGTGGTACCAGCAGTCCTGCACCCAGGAATTGTGGTAATGTGGACTATTTGGCCCTGGACTTTCAGCCTGGCTCCCCTGGTCCACACAGAAAGGTACGTCTAGCCTTAGTTCATATCAACCAAATGAAAAGCTCATCATCAAACGCTCAAAATGAATCCCTTATGGGCACCTTGAGTATTCCAAGACAAACAAAAGCATAAAATAATTTTATTTAATGTTGTGTGAATCTTTGCACTTTGAGTTGTTTGGTTGAATATATTTGATCCCATCACTTCACATCTTTTCACAATCTATAACTTTTGTATCTTTCCTATAGCCGTCCACCTCTTCAGTGACCTCAGATGAAAAAGTGGACTACGTCCAAGTGGACAAAGAGAAGACACAGGCCCTTCAGAACACCATGCAGGAGTGGACAGATGTGCGACAGTCAAGCGAGCCGGCTAAAGGCATCAAGTCCTGATGATTTTCAAATGTTCACACTGAATGTGTTCCTCCCTGTCACTCAAAATGCTCTATTACTGTTACACCATGATATAAACTGATTTACCTGTGACAAAATAGCGAATGAAACACCAACTAAAGCCATAGATCCACTTCATTTGGTCTTTTTTAGGACAAAAAGCTCCACTGAACCTCCTAGACTGTCTTGCCATGCATGTTAGACATGTTTAACTTTTCAAAGTGCAGTGCAACCAAACTTTAACTACTTGCTTTCTCTGAGTGTGAGCGAAGAACCATAAACAGTGAATATTTAAATCTAGTTATAGGTGACGTGTGCAATTTTTTCAATGTTAAAATACTTTCATCACAGCATAAAATTCAGAGAATGCTAGAAATCCATTTGATTTATTTCGTTTGAAGTCTCCCAGAAAAATGTAAACACTGTGACTCTATCAAAACATAGCTCTGTTTGTTTGAGCATCCTGTCCAGCCTGACATAGCAACACTGGCTCGACCAATGCCATTAGTTTCAGGTGGGACTGTCTGACCAATGGCATGCATAGGGAGTGTTCAGGAAACCTGTTTGAAATTCAACATTTTTATCTGTTTAGTGGCACTAGTTGCGCAGAAATTACACACCTCACCTTTAACAGTGTTATAAGGGCAGAACAGCACTTCAAACAGAGGATTTTATGAATTCATGGTGGTCTGCCTGCCAACTTGAATTGCAGTTTGTCTGTTAATTCAGCGGAAGAGAGAAGGTCACTTTTTTTCCAATTTTGAGTCAAGGGATGTAGAACATGTTCAAAAAATATCCTTGTAGTTTTTAAATTAAAAATGTTTAATGGGTGTTTTCACACTTGGTCTGACACACAGTTGCTCATATGAATATTGGCTTAGAATGCAAACCCAGCCCTTTTAAAAAGTGAATCAAACTCAGATCATCTCAGGAGGTGGTCTGTGTATGGTTCACATATACGATGCATTGTAAATGCAAAGCTCACACACAACCACAAAAGTCCAATTTTGATCTGTAAAAAAACAAAAAAAAAGTTAACACAAAAATTTAAATTGTCATTTCACTCCAATTATGTATCATTTACTTGTATGTAACACAAAAGGAGTTACCTAGCAAAATGTCCAAGTGGCTCTTTTTCATACATTGGAAGTAGATATTTTCTTTTTCAAAGGAGGTTGGATATTCTGCTTTATAAGACCTTTGTTGTTCCACATAGTGGTGTCGCCAATACACCAGTATTAATAAAAATGATATATGCATGTTACTACTCCAGATACATTACACCTTTAAGGGCCGTTCACACAGAATGCGTCTTTGCATCTAAAAAAAAAAAAAAAGGGAGACAGTGCTCAGGATTGTTTTTTTTTTTTAAAAGCACAGCGCAGAATGCAAGGGTCTCAAGATGCGCTTTTGAGACGTGATGCAATAGCAGTTAAATATAAAGCTCCAGCCTCCAGGGTCTTCTGATTGGTCCACTGTTTTGGAGCTGACATTGATGAGCGGCGCTGCCTGTAAAAGTTGAAATTCGTTTTAAAAACGTGCCGCTTGTGCGAAACTCTACGAAGGATGCAAGACACAAGCACAACGGTCATACAAGTCTGTCTAGCACGTATTTACATAGAAAAACAATGGAAAAGTAGCGCATCGGAATGGAAAAACACGTTTTGTGTGAACGGCCCATAACACTGGTTGCCACCTAGTCATAACAAAGCAAATATGTGCTTGCCGATAAGGGTGTTTTTTGTTAGACACCCCAGTCTGGAGGAAGTGGCAATCTACAGTCAATTTATTTATTTTTTTTTTTGTACGCTATTGTCTCTCCGCCTCCCTACACTATTTTGAGTGTGATGTAATGGCCAAAAAAGAGAAACCATCGCCATAATCGTGTAGTGAAATTCTGATATGTTGACAGCCTTAGGGCCCTTTCACACCAAGGATGGTAACTATTACGATAACTATAATGATAACTTTTTATCATTGTAGTTTTACAAAGTTTTACTAAATCAATGCGAATGGGAATGAGAAACAATGTGAACCAAAGTCTACACCACAACTATAATGATAACAGCACAGAAGAACAATATTGTTGGGATCACTTTCAGAATATTTTTTCCACCTATAGATCTATAAAACATTGACAGCAAATCAAAATCCAGCCAACTTTGAAGAGCATGAGCATTTAAAGTGGCAGATGACGTTACTGCACTATGCGCTTATAATAAACAGAACATTATTGAGCGTTGATGTGGACACTAATATAGGTATCATTATAGTTTTCATTATTGTTCTCATTCTTGGTGTGAATGGGCCTTTAGTTGCATATAAGAAAAAGTCCTACAGGTTAAAGTTGATAATATAAGGTAAACAATGACACAATTTTTATTTTTGGGTGAACTATTCCTTTTAAGGTTCCAGAATGGTTCCGGATCCTCCTAAACTAAGAACTTTTCAATCCAGCAGCATGTACTAACTAACAGGCCTTCTCCTTTTAGCTTGACAAATATGCACTTCAAAGTATTCTTTACTCTGCATGCAGTCTGAACAGGGATACTGACTATTTTTCCCTAAAACACATTGCTTCTCTGGCTGTCATTACAGAATAGGTTAGAGCAAACTTACATATTCAAAAATAACAATAAATGATCTATTCATATACTAATAAAAACATACTGTTTGTTAATGTCCTTACTGTAGTTTTGTCAGGGGGATGTATAGATAGTTAAAACTGTTCACATTTATCAGCATTTTAGATGTTATACTTTGCTGTCAGAACAGTTCGAATTATTTTAAGTTATTACAACAAAAGGCTTCCAAATATAAACTGTTTCTAGTTTCAGCAAACTGGCTGGTTAATGTGAGCAGCTGTAGCTGTAAATCAGCCATGCTTTATGCCTATTGAGATTAGCGGAAGGACTCTTACACGGAGCGTGTTGTTTTTGTGATAGACACCTTACACGTTTTTTTGGGCTGGACTAGCTGTTTTCTGAACAATGTTGGATGTGGAGCATAATGAAGGGGCACAGATATTACACACTTCACTGTTAAACTGTGATATAGGGTTTACAATGATTCAGATGTGGAGAATTCTATTAAAACACTGTTTTGTTGGACAACAGTGCCAATTATTTAGAAATGAGTATGATGACATTTCTTTCAGCAGCCTAAATGCGTGAGAATATCAAGCGTAGCGTTAGTTCTGTCAGGTCACTTTAGTCAAGCTCGTATCAGCTGACTCTCAGCTGATCCCCATCTACCTGAATAGGACACTCACCTAAGCATTCATATATAAGGTCCCTCAGTATTATCAGCAGTTTTCGCATTGCTCAATAGCTAATTACCCTCCTCCATCCCCAGCTCCTCCTCTGTCAGTCAGGATTCAGCCTTCTGATTATCCTTTGAATCAGACTAATTCTAAAATGTGTACATAAAATTATTGAACTTTAACGATATCTGCAATACATTTATGTTGGTTCTGTTCTGTTTACCCTGGGGGGAGGGGTATCGCTGCTCTCCCTGCTCTCATCGATGCTAGGCTGCATGGATGCGCAGGGAGTTCTTGCCCAGAACTGAGCCTTACTGCCAATCCAAACTGTATGCTAATTGTCAATCATCTTTGACGATAGTGATCCTGACAGAAATGATATTAGCATCATTTTAGGTAAAGGTGATATGCTAGAAATGTAACTGTATTTAAACGTGTGCTTGCTCAAGTTCAGGGGTAAAAAAGGTGCCATATTCAGTTCGAAATCAAAGTAGCCCATTATTACTTTTTAATAAAGAAGACTGTAGAATTTGTCATTTCACTCAGTATTTTATGGCGGGCTGGGACCTCCAAATACTCAGTTTCTAGCATTGTGGGAGATGTTTTATTTGCCTTTTATTCATTTCATATTCCAAAACCATTTTGTATTAAGTTAGTTTAAACTTTACATATGAGGTTGTAAGTGGTCTGGACTTGTTAAATAAACCTTGTGTAGATTGTTTGTTAGATTCAAATCCTTTCATGTGTTCGGTGGATTATTTAAAAAAAAAAAAAAAGTGCTTTACAAGACTGCCATTGTTTTATGATGTTAAACTTTGTGGGATATTCAGTGGCACTGGCATTGGCCTTTACCGGTTCATTAACGTTTAAGTGAACTTACAGGCTAAAAGTGGTTTCTTAATGTCTTTTTCTATTCTGAAAATATGTAATGTATTGTTATGGGAGAGTACCAGTAAATGAATATAATACTTGTGTGTGAGCTGTAGTAGAATGTATGCTGTAGTTTGTTAAGGGGTCAAAGAGGGGCAGATGAGAAAAACTACTTTGACAAATGTCATTAATTGAGTGGATTTTCCTGTAAAGCATTTCTGTTCAACTCTTGGTCACTTGTGAATTAATTTATTAATTTATTGTGTGTTTTGCAGGTGGACGAAAGAATGAATTTGTGGCTCTACTAACATTAATTTATGCTATATGTGCTGATTTTGTGACGCAATATGCCAAGCAAAGCCAGTAAAATGGTCAAATGTGGTACATTTGAGATGTCTGTCCTTTGTCATGTTGTTCTATGATGTATACTTAAAAATTTGACCAAAATAATTTCAACTGCAGAAAAAATAAAACCCATTTTATCAAACAGAGTAAACAATTGCAGTTAATTAATCGTCTTTTAAAATTAGACCTGCCTGTATATCCTACGTTTCTTAGAAACCTGAAAAATGTAGTTAGTCTGCTAAATGACTTGCATTTTCTGGCCAATTTTGTCATGAGTACACAAAATTAGACTAGCCAAAGCCTACAGGCTATTAAAACTTATGATCAGTATTAGTTAGAAAATCTAGAGTTTCCTACTGTTACATCATTGTGCTTATCACGTCAATACAATCATTCTGACATGACGTAAAGGCAGCATGAGACCATACTGATGTCTATGTCATTACTATGGCAACTGATGTAGATACTGGAAACTGACTACACTCAACAAACAGATCCAATTTCATCACTTGACAGATAACAGCAGGAACAGTCAGTCCTGAAGATCAGATCTATAACACACGCAGTCCACTGTGTATCTCAGCCAATGACTGAGACCTAGTTAAAATGGTGTAATGCCAGTTTATAAGTTGGATTCTCCAATGCTGATCAACATCCCCATGCAAAGCCTTCCAGTGTTTCCCAACCCTAGTCCTGTGCTGCTGCATCTAAAAAGACACACTGAGTAGCTAATTTGATTTAGTTACTACATTTGATGAAGAACAAACTTTGTGACTGTTAAAAACATACATTCTATATAGTATGAATGTCTAGACATACCATATCCATTGTGTTGTCATTGACATACATCATTAGTTGTGTCGGTTTACTGCTATTCACAACTCCTCTCCTGTGCCATTATGGGATAGTAAAGAGTCCATTGGATGCACACATCAGAATCATGGTGAAAGTATTAAGTAGGTCATCTGTGTACTTTTTGCCTACTGTTTTTTATGAATACTAGTTGAATTTCAACTACTTATTAAGTCAAGTCACCTTTATTTGTATAGCGCTTTATACAATACTGGTTGTGTCAAAACAGCTTTACAGTGTCAAACAGGAAAATCGTTTGTCAATAATGCAAGAAGACAATAACAGTCATTTTTCCAGCTAAAGTCAGTTAACTGATGATTCAGTGATGTCATACTGTTTATTGCATACTATATAGTAGAAAAGTATGCATATTTGGACACAATGTTGGAGTGCCACTCCCACTGAACATTTCATATGTTTTCCTAATCAAACATCCAAAATGTCCAACTGGTGTGGGATGGGAAACACTAGCATATACTACAATAGTTATGTTTCCATCCAAGTTGTGAAATGAATTAATTTTAATTAATTAAAAATGGGCAAATAGGTATATATGAAACAACAATTTGCGAATACAGTAGCATTTTCATCCCATGTGTTCAAAAGAAATTGAATGAAAAAAGTTTAAATGAAAGTAGCCAATACACTCCCATATAAGCAATTTATAGTACAGTAACTGGTTTATATTTTGGCAAATTGGTGGCTAATTCATGTAAATTCATACAATCTCATGCATATGTACGAAAGTACAGTCTGATTATGTCCCACTTACAGTTAGGTTTAGAGGTGGACCTTCATGCTTACTTTTAGAAAAAAAAAATTTGTACAAAATCGCCACCTCGTAAAATACTCTTGATTTCCAGTGAGCTCGGGTTTGTAGCACAGACAAACCACTCAGACGAAGTTCATGTTAAGTATTGATCTGTGGCAAATTCTTTATGTCTTGGAGACAGTTCTAAGAGGTAACAGAAGCCAATCATCTGAGCAAATTGACATGACTTGAGGTAAAATCACATGATGCACATCTAGGAAT